ATTGTGGAGTATTAATATGAAAGGGAAAGTAAATGCAGCTGTTGAGACTTGTCATAAAAGTGAAACTTCCTTCCATCGGATGGGTGCATTTATCAACTTCTCGGATCCATTTGTAGCAAAGAGGTTTCATGCCGATGCATGCACTTGGGCATTTGGCATGAATTTGTTTGATCTTCAAGAGTGGAGGAGACAGAATCTAACTACTGTCTACCATAAATACTTGCAATTGGTACATACGACTTTAAGCCTTATATTTGCTTTTTCGGGTTTTTACATTTGGAAGGCTGATGTCTGATTCATGGCATTACCAAATGCTGTACACTGTACACCGTACATGCACCTCTACTTCATATATTTGAATGTTATTGTGCAATCGTATTTTAATGCTTGTTTTGCTGTGTGTTTTGTTGCAGGGCAATAAGAGGCCATTGTGGGTGGCTGGGAGTTTGCCCTTAGGTTGGGTCACCTTCTATAAAAAGACAGTAGCTTTGGACAGGCGATGGCATATCCTTGGGCTGGGTTATGAGTCTGGTGTGGTTCGTCCTGACATTGATCGAGCAGCAGTAATACACTATGATGGAATTATGAAGCCATGGTTGGATATTGGGATTGGGAGGCACAAGGGTTATTGGAGCAAATATGTGAACTATGAAGACTCTCATCTGCAACGGTGCAACATACATGCGTAGTCCACTACTAAAATGGTGGGATTAAGATGACCTGTACCACACAATTAGTTGCTTATTGCTCCAGGATGATGGAACTGCACTGGTTCACACAATTCTTTCTTTAACGATTCTTCAATGTAAAGTCGAGCTCAATTTTTTCCCACATTTTTCTGGGCATAATCTTCTAGGATCCGAGAGTCAAAATATAGGAATAATTGGAATCAATAAGTGTCCCTGGGGGATTTTGTACTGCGGGTCTGTATTTCATGTACATAACTTTCTTTCAACTCCTTAGCTAGACTCCTACAAGCATTTTTCGATATAGACAGAGTTACTTGAAATCAATTTGGTATTCTTTTTAAGTTATAAACCCTGTGTACAAACTTGTGGATGTTTTGCCCTGGATTGCAACTTCGCATATTTTGCCCAGATTGACAATTGTCTGAATTATTTTCTGAGAACCCAGAGCGCTTGTTTATTGATTTATCTCCGGCCATTTTTATGACTTCAATTGGTGATAACTGGACTTTTTGGTGGATTATGTGACACGTGGAAAACTATGGTTGGGTTGTTGCAGATAGGGGATATCTATTGAGGGGCTGCCAAATGCAAATCTATCCATCTTGTGTGGTCCACGGTGCATACTTTGGCCCAATCAATATTAATCTGTGAATTGTTCACAGCCCCTATGGAACTGCAACTTCTGTCATAAAAATCAGTTCCATTGCAGATTGCCCATAAGCTTCTAAAGTTTCCCACCAATTCTCTTTCAAAACTGAAGATAATGGCAACCATTACTGCTAGCACTCCAACCTCATCAATCACCAGGGCAAGTCTAGTGCACAAACCATCTGTTGGGGCTCCATCCGCAACTGTGTTGGGTAAGATTGTTTTGTACACTTCTCAACTTGATTTCAATATTTTAAACTGTTCTAGAGTGCGGAGAGGTGGTTCAAACTCAGCCGCACTCGTGCGGGCACACTGTCTTGACCAACTGGTCTAA